ATCGTGGAGATCACGAATCTCAGTTAGGTCATCAGCAATTTTCCAACCCCGTTGGTGTTTGCTGCGAGTAGCTTGAGATCGTTCCTCGGTAATTTTCGCGTGATCCATGCAATAGAGCTCCTCGGCATCCTCAGTGGGAGAGTGTTCGAGAGAAGATTCGGGCTAAGGACTGCAATCTTTTCTCCTTCTTGGATGAACGTCAGCGTCTTCCTCCGACAGATCGGATTGGTCGCTTGTTTTCAGATTAACCTTTTCGACAATGTCGTCCTCGGCCTCCTGTTCGTGAGAAGGAGATTTTTCCGAATCCTTTTGTGTCGCGTTAGGGTTATCTTTGTCGGAAGGTTGCCTCGGTTGATAACCTTGCTCGGTTCTTGGACGATCCATAGGAGTCACGAAATCGAGTCTTCTTTTGTGGATTCTTGTGGTTTCGCGGGGGCAGATAGCTTTGGTCTTCGCGGTTAGGGTTTCGACATGTTTCGTGAGAGATCCAATTAGCTTATCATGCTCGTCTGTCCTCTTTTGATAGGCGGAGAGTGCCTCCTGCAGCGACGTAGTGTTGCCAGTAGCGTTAACTGTAGTCGCGTCTAGAGTTCGAGTTTCAACGTTTCGTTTTCACGAGTTGGTTGTTCTTCTGTCATCGTAATTGATCGAGCATAATGTTGTCTGAGAGTTAGATAGATCCGTAACCCCCACTCCTTCTAACGCCAAACTGTGAGAATCGAAATTCACACCATCGATTTTCGTAAAGAAAAGAACTTAGGGAAAACCCCAATTTCCCAGTCCTAGATATCTACTCAACCACACACAGGCAATCAGAATACGAGAAAGATAGTAAAATAAAATGAGAATCGAAAAGAGAGCAAAGAAGTTTCTTATTCCGATTTTGCGTAAGAACGGTACAATGAGGTAAAATCCTTGGCCACAAGAGCGGACGGCGAGTTTCCTAGTTCTAGCAACCTAAGACTAAAACCCTAGTTGAGACGCAGCTCGATAACAAAAACGAAAAATTGCCTAAATGCTCTAAGTGCTAAGTTTTTATGTGAGATGGGAGCTCTGAAAATCCCCATGTTCTTGTCCTCGATTTGCGCTTATCGGAAATCTTCCATTTATCTCGATCTTTCCATTTTTCTTTGGAGAACTTCTATTTTATCTTGAAACTTGACATTTTCCCACTCCTGCGAATAATGAGTAAGCCGTCATCATATCTTTGGACTGGATCTTGTCTAAAGTCGTAAGTGGGCTTTTATCGCGTTTTAGGACTTTCCGAGCCATTTTGCGATTAGCCGTTTTACGACTTTAGATGGGATCATTTCTTGATACGATGTCGTTTTTATAAAACATCTCGATTGAATCGTATAGTTTGGCAATGTTTGGTTTTTTGTTTAACTGTTGCTGTTTTATACAATTTACTCGAGGTTTTACGAGAAAATAAGTCTTTAACGGTTTTTTATAAAATATCTCTAGTTAATCGTATAGTTTGGTAACGTTCGGTGTTTTTTAATCGTTGCCGTTTTATTCGATTTACTCTAGGTTTTACGAGAAAAAAGTCTTTTACGGTTTTTATCATAAAACTCCAACGGTAAGATGGATCGGGACGAAACTAGAGATGTTCCGATTATGGTTCAGAGTACGATAAAGTCGAGGGGCAAGGATAGTTTGGTTCAGCTCGCCAACAGGCGAGCTGGTCGGGTATGGCTAGCTCGCCTGTTGGCGAGCTGGACTGGTTGGTTCAGCTTGCCTGTTGGCGAGCTGGCCGGTTGTTCGTTTTCGATCGTTTATCGTTTTTCTCGACCTGAGATCCTCTCGGGGAAAATAAGGAGAAATAATCATAGACGTTTTCGACCTTTATTACAGTTTTATCGTTTCGGGAAGTTTGGACGTTACGGCCGTGTTTTGCTAATTTAGCTAATTTGGAAAATCGCGGACTGTTTTATTCGATTTTCTGATGATTTCCAGGATGAGGATTGTTAAGTTTACGGAATTATTTTGTTCGGAAAATCCTTAGATATCTTATCAACGCTTTTTCGTATTTCTAAATTTTATTCTTAGCTTTGCGGAAAGTTTTGGTCGTTGATTCCATCGTAACCAATTTTGACCCCAACATATATATTATATATGTATCATCCGGATCATATAGATATATTATATATGTACCATCCGGATCATTAGATATATTATATACATCCGAATAAACAGATATCTGAGGGTCCTGATCATATAGTGATTTTACGGATCCGGATAGTGAAATTTAGGTCTGGATATCCAGATCCGGATCCACTATATATTTTTATTATATTTTGAAATGTAATTATTATAGATGTATATTGTATATATTTTTTCTATAAAATAAATAAATTTAATTTTTATTAATTTTTAATGATTTTGACCCGCACTTAAGAAGGTTACAAATGTTTTATTAATCTGTAAGAATCTTGACTATTGAAAACATTTTACATTCAAATCATCGTTTTTAATCTCGATTTAAACTTGCGATCAAACTGGTAAACCCGGTGATTCGATATATCCCAGTTTTATTTTAAAGATTATATTATTTAAAAGTACTATAAAATCCAAAAAAATCTCTAAAATCTGAAACTACCCGTTTAAGCCGGTGGGTAGCCGAGATGAAATACAAAATTATAATAATTATGTTCATATGAAAATAAAAATAGTATAACTAGTTATGTTTGTTTTAAAAGATTTAAAACTGAAATTAGGTATAATTAATCTTTTTAATTTGGTTTATGTTGATTAATGTTTATGTTAATATATTATAATAAAAAGGATCAAATATTTTTTTCAATTTATTTTGTATTTGATAATTATTTTGTATGCCTCATAGAATAACCCTGAAAATCGTTCACTGTAAAAACATCAAGCATAATTTGTAATAATATAACCAAATATTATATATTAATTAAGTTTTAGTATTTTACTTGTAAGTAAATATTTTTTTGTATCAGAGTAAATTCATTTTGATTCTTATTTATAATTTTTTTTGAAGTAAACATAAGAATTATTTGTTAAAAATTAATTGTTCTTTATAATTAATAACAAATCAAAGGTTTTAATTGTAACCGAGATTTTCCGTTTTAATAAAAAACATATACTGGAGATTTTTATAAAGAATAAGAAGGTATATATCTAAATTAAATGTTATTTAATATTTGAATGCGGATATATAACTAACTTCCTAAACGTGAAGTATAATTATCTTCTTATTAATTATAAGATACTGAAATATCAGTAACTTTCTAAATAATAGATTCCCGCGAAATATCACATCTATCGTAATTAGACTAATTAGACATATAATATTACATTAATAATGTGAGGTCTAAATTAAAAATCTTACCTAAAAGATTTCACTATAAAAATTAAATATTAAATATATGAAATTATGAGAGTAGATATCTCGTTAGTTGATTTTGCAACAACTTTATAAATGACATGTTCAATAACAAATATTTAAATGTAAAATATATATTACATAAAAATATAAATATTTAACAAATAAACATTGGTTCTTGTTTATTTGTTCTTTACGTCATACTACTATTAAATTGAAAATGAAAGTCAAGAAAACTCACCTATACAATTCAGTGTTTGAAGGTTGATATCAAATATTTTGGATTCTTGTAGCGACTATTTTTTCCATAGCTATTTCAATGAAATAAGTATGTGACATTAAACTGATCATGATTAGATCTAACTTAGAAAATAAATATGAAATGTGAAGATAATGAATTTACTTGAGATTTATAGAAAAGACAAATATTTAGTTCGTCCAAAAAAAAAGAAGCTTATTTCATAGGAAAAAACTAAAGAAAACGAAGATGATCAAATCATATGCTTCAAAAGAGGAATCATTATGTTCATCTGCACATAAACCAAAACCAGAATCAGTAAACAAAAAATATGTATATATATATAAAGTTAAGATTCTAAAATAAGATAAATTTACTAAATCGAAAACATAAAAAATAACACCATAAAAGTTCAGTGTAGATTTTTTTGAGTAAAAAACACTGTTATTCGTAGTCATGGCGAAAGAGATTTGAGTTTTTGTTGATGGTCGATTATATGAATCTTGGCTTGGATATTTATAGATGGATAGAGATTTGTAAGGTATTCTATATAGTATATTGTGTGGGATCTATCTAATTAATATTTACATATATTTAATATAGGATATTACTAATCGGTTTTAATGGTTACCTATATTTTAGGTAAGTATATATATTGAAAATGAATCGCCGGAACAAATCTTTTAAATAGAGTATATCTAAAATTTTGTTGGTAAGGAATATGTAGATATTTTACGTGATTCTGTTTCAGAATATCTAGGAAACCATAATAAAATATAGGCGTAGAATATATCTTTATTAGTTATTCTACTAGTAATAATATCATATCATAATTAGACTATAGATTAATAATATGCGGTCCAACTTAAAAATCCACCTAGAAGAAGTTGTAATGCTTCTGTTTTAATAAGATAGATAAAGTAAAAGATTTAATATATTTTTTAAAATACGGATCCGAATCCGGATATCCGGACCTAAAAATTAAGATATCCTGATCCGGATTCTGTTTTAATAAGATAGATCACGACACCTCTAGATATCCTAATTTCTCGGAGTGGATCCGGAATGGATCACGGATCAAATCCGGATCCCGGATAAAAGTCTCAGTCCTACTTACCAATATGGAAATAAATAATTTTTATTGTTTATTTAATATTATACTATACTACTATATGATGTTAGTTTATTAAAAATAGTGTTCTGATTTTTTTTTTTTGTAAATTAGTGATCGATTTATGTATTGTAAAATGAATTAAAAAATTGCATTGTAATGATATAATTTTTGGTAGATATTTATTTATAGTAGTATATATAAATATTAGATAGATTGCAAATTAAAGTAATATAGTATAGTTTCGCTTGGAATACATTTAACCTCTATACGAAGAAAAGAAAAAAAAAACTATTTTTATCTATTATTGTCAATGTTAGAAAATAATTAGCCTCAAAATGGGTCCCGGAGAAAACTTCTAATGATAGTAACACCGTTCACAAGTCTATAAACAATCTCCACACGCAATTAAAAGTTTATTACCATAAAGACTTTTGCATAATTTCAACAATAATGTCCAAGCTCACCCTTCTCTTATTCACGTTGGCTCTCACCGTCGTTTCCTCCAAGCCTGAAAATGAAATCATCCCCGATAACCTTAACACTTTATCTGCCGAAGATACCAACAACCCAACCATTCACGGATCCGGGTCATCAGGACCCGAATTAACATCTTCCGATGAGATCACTGTACCGGTCAATTTCATGAATTTCCATCCAATCAATCGTCACTTCCCTAGACGTCCCTTGACTTTCAACCGCCGTCCGTGCCACCACCGTCGACACGAGCTGTTCCGACGAGGCCTCCAGATCCCTTACGGCAACGACATGATCTTCTCCGGTGAAGATCCTTCGTTAGACGGCGTAGTCGTGGATATTCCGGCGGTCAAGATGTTTGTCGGTCCCATCGCGGTGGAGGAGACAAAACGCCATCTCGAGGCGGAGGATGATGTTTCCATGAAGATTACGGTGACTTTGATGAAGCGCAAAGAAGAAGGAGAAGGTGAAAGAGAGAATTTGTTCAGGACAAAGATTCGCAAGTTTCTTAACCATTTGGTCTGAACAATAAGAAGACGCTAGTTTGTCTTTTAAGTCTAGTAAAGATACAATAAAGTAAAGCCCTCTTACACATGGTGGCTCTTCTGGTAAACAAATAGTTTCCGTATGTATGATATGGGATGATTTTGTCTATAATATGTGATTCTGTAAAAAACCTTAATCCTATAGTTTGATTAAAATTAAATTGATTGCAGAATATGAAGAATACCATAAATTACATTACGCTTTTGGAGTGTACATATATTATGCTTGGTATTCGCAGGAACCGCCTTGTTGGGAGGTTGATGTCAGCTCAGGGCAAGCCGTGGGGTTGACTTTCTCAGCGGCTCCTACAACATCTGAGCATTTCCATATCGGAGAGCTTTTTGTTCCGGTGAATGTAACATTGGAGAAGCAGAGATTGGTGAAAGGTGCATCTTTCAATCCCTGAACCATGCCAGCACGCTCGACTTTGATGCCCCAAACGTTCTTGATCGTTATGCCTCTTACGACCGGAAGAGCGGATATGTTGAATTTATCATCCGGGTGGTCTCCTGTGTCGCCAGAGATCTTAATCCCGGTCCGAACTTTTTCCAGATGAACACCTGAGACTGTGATCCCCTGGATGCTTCCTCCCCGGCCAATGTTTGTCTTGATGTGGATGCCTATCCCGGAATTGTACAAGGTGATGTTCTCGACCGTGACATTCTGGATTCCTCCGGAGGTCTCGCTTCCGATAGCTATTCCAGCAAATGAAGTAGATCCGATGATGCGTCGGATGGTGATGTCACGGCTGGGACGGTTGTAGGCAATGCCATACTCGTCCCAACCGCTTTTCACGGCTACAAGGTCGTCGCCAGTGGATATGTAGGAGTCTTCTATACATACGTTAGAGCTCGAATCTATAGCAATGAGTGAGCACACCAGTTAGTGAATAATTTGAAACGTAAACTGAGAGTGAAGGATGTGGAATTGATGAAACCTGGATCAATCCCATCGGTGTTTGGGGAATCAGTTGGAGCGAGGATGGTAACGTGATGAACTACAACATCACTGTAAGAAAAGAGATGCTAACTAGTAAATACCAAGCTCAAGAGATGCTTTACTTTGTCTTAAAAAAGTTAGCGAAGAGAACCTGCAGTAAACAGGATGAAGTGTCCAGAAAGGGGAGTTCTGGAGAACAACATGAGAGATGAGGATGTTAGTGGAGTTGTTGAATTCAATGAGACCCGGTCTGGTGAATTTTAGAGTTCCACGTCTCCACATGTTCCACCAAGGTTCTCCCGCACCGTCAATGGTTCCATTTTTGCCTAGTATACACATTAACACAACATGGGTTAGGGTACCAAAGATAACATGATTTCAGAAGAGATACTTGGACATTTAGGATGATACAAAGTAAACTCCGAACATACCTGTGATAACTACGTCGGTAAGGCTGTCTCCATGGATAAAGCTAATATACCTTTGACCAGGGCGCTCCCTTCCTCTGCCATAAGAGGGTAAAGGATCTATCAAAGGCCATTTCTCGGTATCCTGAACAATCAAAACAAGCATGATAAGTACATCCATAACATAGTTTCAAATGCAATTACGTAGCTCAATCGTCCATCTACAGATATCAAAACCTTAGTGATTAATGTATATATTGCATTCTATTCTATGGTTATATGAATCTTTGCATGCAATCACAGACATACATTTCCACTGTTAAAAATCATCACAGGGAAGCTCCTGGAACGAAAAAAACAGATTCGATCTAAATCAATAGGGAAGCAAATAAAAGAACAAAATCTCACCTGAAGGGCTTTGATGACAGCCCCATCGGCGAGGTAAAGAGTCATGTGACTGGTAAGGTTGAAGCTCTGAGTCAAATACACACCACGTGGCACGTACAGAAGACTTCCCTCGCTTACGTTTTTGTCGTTCCGTATCTGATCAATGGCGGCGTTAAAGGCATTTGTGTTCAAGGTGGTGCCGTCACCGACAGCTCCAAAGTCAGAAATCGACAGCATCTGGCTCCTGTTCTTCAAAGGAACTATCCCGGAGCAAGTGATGGGATCTCCGAGGGAGAGATGGTGAGCGGAGGAGAGCAAGAAAAATACGAAAACAGAGATCGGAGGTCGAGAGATTCCCATGGCTGTGGTTCAACTATGAGACCGTGAAGCGTTTGTGAGTAGAGAAAAATAAAACTGAGAAGGAAAGAGTTGGAATCTGATCTTAGAGAAACGTCATTAACTTACTCCACCAAGAAATCTGCTGGGAGAGTAATGCCAAAGAGGAAAGCCAAAAAAAGAAGAAGCAGAGGGGACACCTAATTTACGGTTTTGACCTTCCTTTACTAAAATGGTTTTTGAATCTTCGGGTTTTGATCAAAAAAAAAACGAAAGAATTTCGGGTTTTAATTTTTTAGTAATAGTTTTATATATTCACCAGCTTAACGGGCCTAAATATTCAAAGCCTATTATAAATTGTCCTGCCAAAGTTGCCCTAATTGGTCTCTTCTTTCCCGCGCTATTTTTCACCCGAAGGGTTAATTTATATTTTACTAGGACCGGTCCGCCCTACGGGCGGGTTATACTTTACATACGATCTCGGTTATTAAGTTTTGCATTGTTTTTGGGTTATACATTATTATTTATGACTTGTCATTTGTTAAATGTGCAAATCGATGTAATGTTAGCAATTTTCATATAGTTGTAGTCTTTGTGATATGTAATTTTGATTAATATATTATCGGTTATAGTTATGTCTTGTCACATACTGATTATTTACATTATGTACTGATTATTTACATTCTCGGTAATGGAATTAAAAAAAAAACATTTCTTAGTTAAGTTCATAAAGAACCTTGACAAGCATATAACCAATGGTAGTTGGATATGGAGAAGTCTTTAAGATACAAATCATTGTATTGTTGTCTTACACCCATGTGGAAGTAGTGTCGAAGAATTATTTTTAAAGTTGTAGAGGGTGCATTTTTGATTAAATATATACCAATTTGGTGGTTCGTAAGTTGCAGTAAACTTACTCTCTGCAGCTAACATATCAAATTATGTACCAAGTGTTATTAACTGAAAAGATTTCTTCCAAGGTAGTACTGTAACTGATAATGATTTCAGTAGAAGAATATCCAGAGAAAAGATTAAAGAAGAATCGTAGTATAGAAACAATACTATATACAAAAACGCAGACCAAATTCTTGGGTACACTTTTATGCTTTTTATATATTAGTAAATATGATAGACCCTACTTGTTGCTAAGGCTCTTTATATTTAGACAAAGGTAGTTTATGTTTCTAGTTTAGGAGAAGTCTACACATCAAATATAGCTTCTAGTTCATCAAAGCACAGCAGATCTCTGTTTTGTATTCATCCTCTTTTGACCATCTATATCTCAGTAGCCGTACAAATGCAGCAGCTACACATCTATTTCTCTCTGCAAGAGTTCATGCCTGTCATGTTTAACGTTCTTAAGGATGATGCAATCGTGGTCAGCCTTCATACTTTGAAAAGGAAGAAGATTAGATGACATAGGGAAATAAATATTTACCTGAGACTTCTCATGTATAATAGAGTAAGAATCAAGATCTGTATGTGTTCTGTTTTGACTGATCCTAAACCACAAATATAAAAACTATTAAAGTGCATCAAGAAAAAAATCTGTTGCAAAAGTATTCTTGTAAAAAATAGAATTGCAAGTGCCTCATTTTTAGAAAAAGAGGTATATTCAAAAGGAAAGTTAGATAACTTATGAAATTTTTGAATAGATTCAAATATAGAAAAGAGTTACATGTCGATCTTGATAGTTACCATAACTCGATCTTTTACATGAGGAATGACACTCACTATACTTCTCACAGCAGTGAGCTCACCAATAAAATCTGAGAGATTAAGAACATCTTAATTAATTATCTGTTTCAATGATAAGTCTGTCATAAACAGTCTTTAAGAAGCTGTACCTAGGCCAAGAAAGTTGTAGCAGTTGGATTCAAGAAGTGAGAGTAGTATACTTTCCCATGCCAAACTTCACTGAGATAAGGCTCACCATATCGTTTAATGAACACATATGCTTCCATTCCTCTGTTATATGTCCCGTAAGAGGAGCTATTCGCACCAAGCAAGACCAGTTTTCTATCTCTTGAATCAATTTGCAAGAGACTCTAAGAGATTAGTATTAGTTTATACCTGGATCCAAGAACAGTACGTATTTCTGACCATTCTTGTGAAAGTGTATTTACGAATGATTTCATCTTGTCCTCAGGGAAGTTCATGGGAGTCCAAAGTGAAGTCTTTGAAGCCTTCCATGTAATCAATGTCTGTCCACTTAACCTCAAGAGGTATTCCAGCTTTTGCATATCCATCAACCACAAATTCAAGGTCTGAAACATTGTTGCATCCATACCTACACTGATGAAATCCTAGACCAAAAATATATCCCAAATAAAGTAACTAACTATACAAACATTTTCAAAGCAAAACAACATCTCATCTGCAAGGTTAATGGAGCTACATGTATCATTTTCTAGTGACTACGAAGAGTTCTTGGTTTGTCCAAACCATGTAATTAAATTATTTTGGAGATCAAATCTCTCGCAACGGAGCTTGAACCTGTCACCTCAGATCCCTACCATTGTATATCATCAAAAGTGAAAATGTACAAAGAGAAAAGAGCTCTTACCAAACGAACAGTAAGGCATAGGTGCAGGTCTTCCAATAAACTATGTATACTGATTCATCGACATCTCCAGTGAAGGTCCAATGAACACGTAAAGATCGAGGATACCACCAATCACATTATAAGTGATCCTACTTCCATCATACCTCACGTCCATTCCATTACTGTTCAGAAACAGAACACCGTGAGTAATCCCTGCTTCATCGTGACTGTTATATCCTCTCACATCCATGTAAAATGGGTGCGATTGATAGAGGCTAACATCTGGATTCTCGCTGCCGATGTCAGTGTTCCACAGAGTCATCGCATCGCCCGGGATCAGCTTGAACGATCGCTTCGTATGCTCCCGGAGACCGTATACATATTCTATCGGGATTCCGGTAAGGCAGAAGTTAGTTGGAGGAATTGGTCTTTGAAGTCAAAGTAAGTGTTTGGATCTGATGGATCCGGACGCGTCGAAGAGGATGTCGCCAGAAGAGCGTCTAGAGACGGAGAAACCAAAAAGCGTCGTGTTGTGGAGTTTGAATAGTAAGTCGGATCTGTGTTTTGGTCAGACCAAGAAAACTGGATCACCCATTAATCGGTTTCTTCGATTGAGGCGGAGAAAACATGGGAGATACTATAACTGAAAGAGATATATTTTGGGGTAAAGGCTGTCCTACGTGCAGTTATATTATGGGGTAAAGGCTGTCCTACGTGGATTTATCTAGCTGGCATCCTATGTGGCACTCTAAAATAGGAGTGATGCTTTACTTTATATAATAGATTATTATTATTATTATTATTATTTTAACACAATCACCCGAAGGGTAAAATCTCAGCCAAATAATACACAAAATTTTTTGTGTAATTGACATTGTTTTCACCTCCTTAAAAAAAACGTAAGCTTTTCTGTACTCTATTTCTAACTTCTTTTTTTGCATCTTCATATTGATTCAGTTGACTCCTTTTCGTATGATTGTTTCTGTGAATCTCTACTTACGAAAATTGGGGGTTATATTGTCTAGTTAAGAACACATTTGTCGTGTAGCAGGAAAGAAAGATGACGAGAGAGGAGACTAGAAGCAGAGGAGATGATGGATGCACCACAAAACAACAACCAAAGCCAGAAGATTTCTTCAATGTTCATTACCTCCGAATTTTCTACGGCAAGTTCGCGATGATCTATTCTTCTTCTTCTTCTTCGCAAATCAAATCTCTTGGTTTCGTAGTGTTTTGGCTCTCAAGTATGCTTAATTATATTGAATGCAGGAAATCTATTTCCTTACACTTACTTTCACAAATGACTTTCTTACGGACGGACATGGTAGGTACTTTGTTTTCTGTTTTTATTTTATTTTTTATTTGTGCTTTCTTTCTCTTACACACACTTACTTGAAAGCTATACTACTAATAATAAATATAGATGGGATACATCCTGGTTGTGATGAATACTTCTTTGGTCGAAGAGAATTCTCTTTTACTCTTGAGCACGATGTTTATCTTCCCTACAAGTCCTTCAAGACTGCTTCAGCTTTGGAGGACGCTATCAAATTCACTTTTCCTTACAAGATTGATATCGGTGCTGTCTATAGTGTTGATGTGAGCCCCTTTTCTCCTAACTTTTTCATCAGCTATGTGCTTTAGAAACCCTTTTTACTCATTATGGATATGTTTGTTTTCTTCTCTTGCAGCAGATAAGAGACATGCCTATTCACAAACTGGTACCAATGTGTTTACCCCTGTCGAGAGAGAGTTGGTCTTTGATATCGTCAGTTTTTTATTTTCTTATCTAATAAATTTCCTTGGTTTTTGATACTTATTCTTTTGTATTTTTCTTAAACTCAAATACATTTGTGTGTGTTTTGATAGGATATAATAGATTGTGACTGTCAGTTAAGATATGATAATATCAAATCAGAATAGAATCAGTATATTCTTGTATAGGATAAGATACGATAGATATGATTCTCTTGTATAAATATTGTGCTATGTTCAATGGAAAGATGATCAAGCTCTATTACGCTTTCATGGTATCAGAAGATTAGAAGATCTTGGCCTTCTAACTCTCTTTTCTCAATCTCTTTCTCTCTCTCTCTCTCTTGATCAACCCTTCTTCTTCTTCTTCTTCTTCTTCTTCTTCTTCTTCTTCTTCTTCTTCTTCTTCTTCTTCTTCTTCTTCTTCTTCTTCCTCCTTTTTCTCCTCCCACTTGCGTTTATCGCCATGGCCAATCCGTTACTCCCCACCAACCATCATGACAAACCTTTTGGTAGTAGTCAAATCCGAGCCTACATTCATATTGTGCTCAACCTTGACAAAATGAATTACGATGTGTGGAGGGAGATCTTTGAGACACATTGTCTCACGTTCGGAGTGCTGGATCATCTTGACGGCTCCTCTGAACCTACACCTGAAACCGAGAAGACCTGGAAAGAACGCGATGGGTTCGGAAAAATGTGGATCTACGGCACCATTACAAACTCGCTCGTTGAGACCATTCTTACTCCCAAGAGTACGGCTCGTGATCTCTGGAACGCCTTGGAGAACCTCTTTCGTGATAACAAAGAAAACAGAGCCATACAACTGGAGAATGAGCTACGCACAATCACCATTGGAGATCTCTCTGTTCAGGAGTACTGTCGTAAACTCAAATCCCTTTCTGATCTGTTAGCAAATGTGGACTCTCCGGTGACAGACCGTCAACTTGTCATGCACTGTCTTAATGAACTTAATGATAAGTTTGATGGCATTCAGAATGTCATTCGACATCGCAGACCCTTCCCGAGCTTTCACACGACTCGCTCCATGTTACTTGCTGAGGAAGAAAGAGTTACCAAACAGTCTCGTACTTCGGTTGCTCACACAGACACGACCTCCTCCCCTCAGGTGTTGTATGCTGATGGTAACTCCTCTGGCTCTTAAGAAAGACAATCAAACAACAACACAAATAACAACAGAGGAAACAACAATCGTCATCGGAACAACAAAAATTGTGGTGGTGGTCGCTTCAACCGGGGACGCGGATGCTACAACAACAATACCGCGAGCACGTCACACTTAGCGTTCTCTCCATGGCGGTATGGACAACCTCAGTGGCCGTATCAGTACTATCCTGGAGCTCCACCAGTGATGTCTTATCCTATGCCGTATGCTCATCAACCTCCTCATCAGACTCAGCAGCGTCCCAGTGCCGGCATTCTTGGACAATATCCAGCACAGACGGCTCCCGAGTCCCATATAGCACAAGGTGTAGCAACTCCAACACTGATCCCTCAGGCTCTGGCTCTGGCTCATGCATTCAACATAATGAGTCTTCAGGACCCAGCAGCTACGCCATGGTACATGGATAGTGGAGCGACGAACCACGTCACTGCGAACCAAGGTACCCTCTCTTCTGTTTTTAACTTGCGCATGACTCCTTCTGTTCGTGTAGGTGATGGGTCCCTTGCTCATCTTACAAAGATGGGTAACACTGTACTTCCATTCTCCTCTCCTCCTCTTCTTCTTAAAAATGTTCTTGTGTGCCCATCTATCATTAAAAATCTTATCTCTGTCTTGTCACAGAAAATAATTGTTCTATTGAGTTTGACCCGTTTGGCTTTTCTGTTAAGGATCTACTCACCAGGACGAATCTCCTCCGATGTGATAGCTCCGGCCCTCTCTACTCGGTGACACCATCTCTTCCTCTTGCTCTCACCGCAGGTGTCCCTCTCTGGCAGCGGCGTTTAGGTCATCCGGGTAGTTCTATCAACCGTTCTTTGTTTTCTTTGGGGTTTTCTAATAAAATTTCTGACTTGACAACTATGTGTAATGCGTGCAAGCTGGGTAAACACACTCGCCTTCCTTTTCAATCTTCTTCTACTATTGTTACTAAACAATTTGAGATTATTCATTCTGACATTTGGACTTCTCCAGTGTCTAGTAATTCTGGTTTTAAGTATTACCTTTTGTTCTTGGATCATTATACACACTACATATGGGTTTATCCGTTAAAACGGAAAAGTGAAACATTCTCAAAATTTCTGCATTTTTCGGCATTTGTTCAAACTCAGTTTCATAAATCTATTCAAGCCTTGCAGTGTGATAACGGTGGTGAATATACAAGCCGAGCATTCCTTGATCACTTGGCTACCACCGGCGTTAGCATCCGCTTCTCGTGTCCGCATACCTCTCAACAAAACGGCCGCTCAGAACGGATGCTTCGTACTATCAATAATCTGATTCGCACCCTTCTCATTCAAGCGAACTTGCCACTCTCTTTTTGGGTTGATGCACTTCACACTGCAGTCTACACTCTCAACCTCTTGCCTTCTTCTTCTATTCAAAATGCCATTCCTTTCACCAGTTTATTTAATAAACATGTCTCATATTCTTACTTACGTGTCTTTGGTTGTTTATGTTACCCAAACACTTCTGCAACTTCACCGCACAAGCTTGCTTCTAGATCAATGGCTTGTGTCTTCTTGCGATACCCTGCAAATCATCGAGGTTACCGGTGTTTAGATCTTGCAACACGCAAAATAGTGATCTCAAGCCATGTTACCTTTGTTGAAAACATCTTTCCTTTTTCGGGTTTTCCTGGTGTCTCGGCGTTTCAGCATCCGTCACCTCTTCCTCCTCTCTTAACACCACCAGCCATTATTTCTCCACCTTCTCTTCCTGCTCCGCTGGATGGTCTTCTTCCGCCACAAGAACCATCATCGAACCTTCATCCGATGATGACTAGGAGTAAAATGGGTATCACTAAACCCCGGGTAATTCCCTTATGCTTTCATACATACACTATTTCTCCTATTCCTTTTTCCCATGTACAGGCAGCAAAGGACCCTAACTGGAATGGATCCATGAAGGAGGAACACGATGCTCATGTTAAACGCAGAACGTGGGTACTGGTACCACGACCGCCGAATACTAACATTGTTCGTTCTATGTGGTTGTATTGTCATAAGTTTAATGAAGATGGCATGCACAAACGATACAATTCGCGGCTTGTGGCGAATGGCAAATCTCAACAGCCAGGCATTGATTGTGATGAGACCTTTAGCCCCGTCGTCAAACCAGCCACCATACGCTGTGTTCTCCACATTGCTCTTGCTAAAGACTGGCCCTTACGCCAATTTGATGTTAAAAATGCGTTTCTCCATGGTGATCTCAAGGAGACAGTCTATATGCATCAACCACCGGGCTTTGTGGACAAGACTAAACCGAATCATGTGTGTCTGCTTCAGCGTTCCTTGTATGGCCTTAAACAGGCGCCTCGTACATGGTACACACGCTTTGCTACGGTCGCCAAAGGCATTGGGTTTGTTCCAAGTCGTTCCGACTCGTCACTGTTCGTCATCAACCGCGGCTCCGATATCGCATACCTCCTGCTGTATGTTGATGACATCATCCTGACAGCTTCTAACTCACCTCTACTTCAGCGAATCACGACAGCTCTGTCTTCGGCATTTGATCTCACTGACCTTGGCAAATTACATCATCTTTTTGGGAATTGCAGTAACATATAATGACTTTGGCATGTTCTTGAGCCAACACAATTACGTTGCTGACATTCTCCATCGCGCCAACATGACAAACTGTAACCCCTGTCTCACCCCCGTCGACACCAAAACAAAGCTTGCTCCTGCTGATGGTGAACCAATTGCAGATCCTACTCTCTACCGCAGCTTGGCTGGAGCATTGCAGTACCTAAAGTTCACTCGTCCCGACATTACGTTTGCAGTGCAACAGGTGTGTCTCTTTATGCATGATCCTCGAGAGGCACATTTCGTGGCACTTAAGCGCATCTTACGGTATCTGAAGGGGACAATCTCTCAGGGATTACAGCTCAACAAATCCTCAATCACTGATCTTTTCGCTTACTCGGATGCAGATTGGGCTGGGTGCCCTTCAACACGCAGGTCGACCTCTGGTTATTGTGTCTTCTTTGGTGAAAGTCTCATCTCTTGGTCATCTAAACAGCAAGACACCGTCTCTCGCTCTAGTGCAGAAGCGGAATATCGAGGAGTAGCAAATGCAGTGGCCGAAAAACCGTGGCTCCGGAACTTATTTTTAGAACTTGGCATCCCTTTTACCAAAGCTACCATAGTTTACTATGACAATATCTCGGCGGTTTATTGATAAAGGTTTTTAAGCCTTAGAGCAAATCGATTGTAGTATTTTAGATTGTCGAACCACATGGAACTAGTGATCTAAGCACTAAGAGTACACAAACTTTCCTAATCTAAGCAAATAGAGAATTCTATTAGTAACATGCTAAGGTTCCTAGAAATATAAACAAGGTGATCTCAAATCCAGTCTAGAAACAATCACAAGAACTACTTTTAATCAAATGATAAGGTAAAATCCATGGGATTAAGGTAATTGATCTAAGCAATTAGTTTTCAAGTGAAGGTGCAAGCTTCAAGCAATCACAAGTCTCTATAGGTCTAGACACTTCAATAGACAAACTCTTTCTCAAGATGGATGCCCTTTTGCTTTTAAGCTTTAGGCATCAAATCTCTTTGGCCTAAATCAATCAAACAAACATTATGATTTAGTCTACTAACCATCTAAACTTTCTTAACATCAAATCTCTTTGGTTAAGTAGGTTTAGAGCAATACTAAGTTCATTCAAGCATTTTAACAAACACCTTCCGGGCATAAAATAGCTTAAGGTCTAGATGACAGTGATCAAATCTAATCTAGCATTAAAAACACTTAGTAAGCATAGAAACAAGTAGATCTAACAATAAACACCTTAACCCTTCTCTAATTATCTTAAATCTACCTAACCCATGGATTCAATAATTGTCTACTCAAAAATCTCCATGATAAACCTTAAACCCATATGATATTCAAGGTTAATCATGTTAATGAGAATGAGAAAAAAGATATAATATGAAGTACTTCCTTAAAATGATATAAAGATTCAAGCTTTTACAATGAAATACAAAGTTCTAGAGAGAAAATGAGATAGATTCGGGTTTTTGGGTTCTAAATCTATTTATAAGAAGGTAAAACTCGAGTTGGTTTATTTGAATTGAAACGGATCAAACCAAAATAAACCGGTCACAAATTGAAGTCCAAACCAGCGGTCTTTGTGTCCCGCTCCAATAAACCGCTGTATCATGTCGATACAAAACAGGAACTTGGATTTGGAGATAGAGCTCGCGGCCAAGCGACGAGGCTACGTCAAGCCGCTGAGATCGCAAGCTCCAACTAGTTGTTCTTCGTCTCAAGCTTGGCTCGTGGTGGTGGTTGGGTCCGTGTTCCGGTCATCAGCACCGGACTCATCTCTGCAACTTTGATCATCGTTGTCATGGAATCAGCCTCTCGTTCGACGCAACAGCACCACCGCAGCATCTCTCCGCGAGTCCACATCTTCGTCACTCTCAGATCTCCTCCTAGCCGTGACCACACCGGAACCATGGCCGTGTCCTAATCTCCCGTCGAGCTCTCTACCGTAGCCCACAGCCGTAACACCTCCATCTCTTCTCCATTGCGTCAAGTTCTCAGATCGTGGCCGAGCTCCTCCGTGGATCTCCGACTCTCCTCTCTCGTGTTCTGGTTCGAGCTCGTGCTCATCAACGTCGTCGTCATCAACCAGGTCCGGCCAGAAGAAAGATCGTAATCTCCAATGGTGGATTTAGAATAATTGCATATCTGGTCCTTCACCTTTTGGATGTTTACCCTTCGACCTCAAAACTCTTGAAATAACACTTATATCCTTACAAATCAGCCCTAGACTTTTGAATTGCGCTACCAGGCCTTCCATAATTACATAATAGGTCCCTCCTCTCTTGATAGATTCCTAATTGTGCACTCCAAACCCTAATGCATACAAATGAACAAATATATGCAATGTAGACACCTAGATGCAATCTAAATGATTAATATGAACTAAAACAAGACTTTAAAACTCGTAAAAATCATCTCATATCAACTCAAATTTGATAAGGGTTTTTATGCCTTAGAGCAAATCGATTGTAGTATTTTAGATTGTCGAACCACAAGGAACTAGTGATCTAAGCACTAAGAGTACACAAGCTTTCCTAATCTAAGCAAATAGAGAATTCGATTTGTATCAAGCTAAGGTTCCTAGAAATATAAACAAGGTGATCTCAAATCCAATCTAGAAACAATCACAAGAACTACTTTTAATCAAATGATAAGGTAGAATCCATGGGATTAAGGTAACTGATCTAAGCAATTAGTTTCCAAGTGAAGGTGCAAGCTTCAAGCAATCACAAGACTCTATAGGTCTAGACACTTCAATAGACAAACTCTTTCTCAAGATGGATGCCCTTTTGCTTTTAAGCTTTAGGCATCAAATCTCTTTGGCCTAAATCAATCAAACAAACATTATGATTTAGTCTACTAACCATCTAAACTTTCTTAACATCAAATCTCTTTGGTTAAGTAGGTTTAGAGCAATACTGAGTTCATTCAAGCATTTTAACAAACACCTTCCGGGCATAAAATAACTTAAGATCTAGATGATAGTGATCAAGTCTAATCTAGGATTAAAAACACTTAGTAAGCATATAAACAAGTAGATCTAACAATAAACACCTTAACCCTTCTCTAATTATCTTAAATCTACCTAACCCATGGATTCAATAATTGTCTACTCAAAAATCTCCATGATAAACCTTAAACCCATATGAGATTCAAGGTTAATCATGTTAATGAGAATGAGAAACAAGATATAATATGAAGTACTTCCTTAAAATGATATAAAGATTCAAGCTTTTACAATGAAATACAAAGTTCTAGACAGAAAATGAGATAGATTCGGCTTTTTGGGTTCTAAATCTATTTATAAGAAGGTAAAACTCGAGTTGGTTTAGTTGAATTAAAACGGATCAAACCGAAATAAACCGGTCACAAATTGAAGTCCAAACCAGCGGCCTTTGTGTCCCGCTCCAATAAACCGCTGTATCATGTCGATACAAAACAGGAACTTGGACTTGGAGATAGAGCTCGCGGCCAAGCGACGAGGCTACGTCAAGCCGCTGAGATCGCAAGCTCCAACTAGTTGTTCTTCGTCTCAAGCTTGGCTCGTGGTGGTGGTTGGGTCCGTGTTCCGGTCATCAGCACCAGACTCATCTCTGCAACTTCGATCATCGTTTTCATGGAATCAGCCTCTCGTTCGACTCAACAGCACCACCGCAGCATCTCTCCGCGAGTCCACATCTTCGTCACTCTTAGCTCTCCTCCTAGCCGTGTCCACACCGGAACCGTGGCCGTGTCCACACCGGAACCGTGGCCGTGTCCTAATCTCCCGTCGAGCTCTCTACCGTAGCCCACAGCCGTAACACCTCCATCTCCTCTCCATGGCGTCAAGTTCTCAGATCGTGGCCGAGCTCCTTCGTGGATCTCCGACTCTCCTCTCTCGTGTTCTGGTTCGAGCTCGTGCTCATCAACGTCGTCGTCGTCAACCAGGTCCGGCCAGAAGAAAGATCGTAATCTCCAATGGTGGATTTAGAATAATTGCATATCAGGTCCTTCACCTTTTGGATGTTTACCCTTCGACCTCAAAACTCTTGAAATAACACTTATATCCTTACAAATCAGCCCTAGACTTTTGAATTGCGCTACCAGGCCTTCCATAATTACATAATAGGTCCCTTCTCTCTTGATGGATTCCTAATTGTGCACTCCAAACCCTAATGCATACAAATGAACAAATATATGCAATGTAGACACCTAGATGCAATCTAAATGATTAATATGAACTAAAACAAGACTTTAAAACTCGTACATCTCATATCATTTATATGTCCTCGAATCCTGTCAAGCATCAACGAACCAAACACGTCGAGATTGACATTCATTTTGTTCGCGAATGTGTTTCTCTTGGCCATGTCCGTGTCCTTCATGTACCATCGCACCAGCAGTATGCGGACATCTTTACCAAAGGGTTACCATCTCCATTGTTCATAGAATTTCGCTCCACCCCGACTATGGGGGAGTGTTAGTTAAGATATGATAATATCAAATCAGAATAGAATCAGTATATTATTGTATAGGATAAGATACGATAGATATGATTCTCTTGTATAAATATTGTGCTATATTCAATGGAAAGATAATCAAGCTCTATTACGCTTTCAGTGACGACGTTAGATACTGTTGCTCCGGAGCCGATGTTTGCTCCAAATGTTGGAAAGTCATTTATACTTCCCTGACTGGTACCACACCACTTTCAACTACCATTTGTTTAGTGTTCCTGAGTTTTTGTAACGTTAGTATATCTTGGGAATTAGTTGCTATGTCTATACCGTTCACAATATTTTAGAGCTTCACTTGATGGTGTTTGGCAATGTGGAACTCTGTTTTGGTCTTATCATTGGACAGACATCTGGCAACCTCATTTTTCTGTCTTGCCAGAGGATTTTGGTTTCAAACACATTCTCTGGGTCTTCAGTGGACGTCGTGGAGTTCACTGTTGGGTTTGTGATCCTAAAGCTCGCAGATAAAAAACAACTACTGAACGCTGTTGCTCATTTGTATGAATCAGTTTCTTCTGCGTTATGAAATGAAACTCTGTGTGATAAAATCCTGTAGGATGACTAAGGAACAAAGGTCCGCAGTTGCTGAATACTTCCGTGTTTATAAGGTTTGCATTTTCCATAGCTAATTGGTTGGTTGGTTGGTTTAATTGATTTTTTTGCATTGATGAAAGCTTAGTAACTGTTTGTGACACAGGGGAATGAAAACAATGCAAGAAAAGTCGCTCTTATGGGTTATTCTTTTTTTTCCTTCCTTGCATACGTCTTCCTCCATCACCTTGGCTGCCTTTCTAATTTTAAAATCGCTATCTCTGCTTACTAATTTCATCAAGGATTTATACAAGAGATCGTATGTGGATTTTCTAAAGGGTTTCTTTGAGGGTGAGTTACAAGCAAATCAAAGTATATTCTCTAGCAAAGACAAGTATGAGAAGATACTTGAGATGATTTTAGATGAAGGTATGCAAAGTGTCATGATGTATTTTTCAAGCTTACTCGAGGTCCTCCTAAGTCCTAACCTCATTTTGGTGACTTACAATGGTCTCACGACAGATATTCAATCAGACCTCAGAGAAAAGTGGGAGAATTCTGCTAGATCATCTCTATCAGAAGAAGCCATCAGTCTTGTCAGATGGGAGCAACTTAAAAACACACTTCAATCCATAAGGTGTGTAATTTTCTTCAAATGCAAATTATGCATGCTTAGTGTTGTGAAAAAAGCTAATTTGTCCTTCACTCAGCTTTTAGCTCGATGAACTTGAATCTCATATCTTTCTAATATTCAACCATGTTTCAGGCTCCAGCACTGCGTATATTGAGTTCATACAAAACAAAGATTGGCAAGTCTAAGGATTCATTCAGCTGGTAACTGATGTATTGAGTTTACATAGTTGAGTGGTTTACTGTCCGGTCTTTTGGTCTAAGTTTCGATTTTAGTTTAGAGTAGTCTACTCTTGTTGTCTTGTTTCCTGAGAAAATTAGAGCTCATTAGGGAGGTGATTAATCGCACATGACATGTGACTGAGTTTATTTATATGGTAATGAATTACACAAAATATTACATAAATGATTAAAGATGGCTAAGGTAACGAATGTTAAAAGGTGTAGCCACAGTTTGGTCCCCATCAAGAAGTGCTTTGGCAACAATGAGATTGGCAGCTTCGGTTGGGTGATACGCGTCCCAAAACACAAACTTTGACCGGTCCTCACAGGCCGCTTGGCTTGAGTTTTGGTTCGGTCCCTTGAAGCAAGTAAAGGGTGGAAAGTAGCCGCCACAGCAAGGCTTGTCCGCGTTCTCCAACCCTTCCACACCAAAACATTCATTTTCATTAGGGTTCTAATCAAACCTAAACATTTTGTTACTAGACAACTAAATTATTACCAAATTGACGATAGTTCAAAACCAGTTTCAAGAAGAGGTCGTAAGAGTTGGCGTAGATAAATGTAGTGTTGTGATATCCTAACTCAGTATTCAATTTCGTGAGAGAAAGTCTAAGCTTCATGTTATATCTAGGGGTGGGCACGGATCGGATATCCGGGTTTTTTAAGGTATTTGTGATTTGCTTCGAATGTTACGGATATCTAATTTTGGTATTTGCTTTGCTTCGAAAAAATACGGATATCCGGAAAAACGGATATCCGGAAAATAAATAGATATTTGCGGATATTTACGAATATTTACGGATATCTCATCCATTTTAATTAGTACNTTTGTGATTTGCTTCGAATGTTACGGATATCTAATTTTGGTATTTGCTTTGCTTCGAAAAAATACGGATATCCGGAAAAACGGATATCCGGAAAATAAATAGATATTTGCGGATATTTACGAATATTTACGGATATCTCATCCATTTTAATTAGTACAAATAATCTTAAGATTTTGATACAAATTTGCTTTGCAAAAATTTTTTTTTGCATGATATATAAAATAAAACTTAAAAGAACTAGTGAATTTATAGATTTTGTAATTTTTTAAAGTTTAAGTTACAATTATAATAACACAAAATTTCAGAAAAAAATATAATTGTCAAAAATATTTTATCTCTTTCTATGTAATACTTTTATATAAGTAATAATTTGAATAGAATTGTTCAAAATCATGTGCTAAATTAATAATTATATAATTTTATACAATTAAAATTTTAAATAGAATCAAAATATACATATATTTATATATTTACGGATCGGATCGGATATCCGCTTTCCAAAATTTTAATATTTGTGATTTGCTTCGATTTTAACGGATATTAAATTTTAGTATTTGCTTTGATTCGAAAGTTTACGGATATCCGGAATTTTCGGATCGAATCGAAACGAATAACGGATCGAATCAAATATAACGGATAAAATGCCCAGCCCTAGTTATATCCACGGACGATTTGGTTGACTGAGTCAGAGCATTTTCCAGCTGGTATTAAGTTCAAGGCACGAGCAAATGGTATGCAACCGAGTGGCCCCACTCCGACCACCACGAACTTTCTTCCTCCTAGTTCATGCAAACGCTGCTAACACACGACACGGTGACTTGACACAATTAAATAGAACTTTACTACGATTTAACTAGTGGATCCAAGTGAAGACAATAATTCCATAATAATTGCTTGACACTTCATGCATTATGTATCTACACAAAGTACTAGTATCTTTTACTACCTTAAGGTGTGTGGTTAAATGAAAGACCATGGAGTCTTGTAAGACATCAATGGGGAGCTTATCTTGAGTGAAGAAAGGTATAGATGGTTGGATGTAATTTAATATATCATTGGACCCAATTGTGATTGTAAACATTGACTTCTTCAACATCTCTTTCGTACCATTTTCACCAATCATTCTTACCATATAGTCTCTACTCTTCTCAAAATAACTCACTTGTTCTCTCAACGGAACCCTCCCTATCTGTCAGAAACGAAAATTAACAACAATCACTATACCTCTAGTAACTATTACGTCTGTTATTTGTTATGTACATGGAGTATTAAATAATATTGTATTATTAAGGATTATAACTAGGCACGTAAAACGATATTTATATATGGGAGCTTAAAGAGCACCCACATTGATGAACCACCCTTGGGGGTTCACACCAAGAAAAAAAAATATATATTTTTTTTATTTTCGTTTACTTCTTTTTAAAAAAAGAAAAAATTAATTTTGGACCAATCATATGTTGACACGTGGTGAATCCAGGGTCATCGGGGTTCACCACGGTGAACTTTTGAGAGAGGGGTTCATAGAAATCTGATTTTAATATTATTATTTTTTCTCGGTTCGCGTGTGAACTTCTCCCATCAACCCTTGATGGAGGTGCGTTATGAATAAAACTACATTTATATATGGGAGCTTACGAATAAAACGACATTTATATATGGGAACTTACGAATAAAAGACCAGTGTCGTCAAAGATTCCAGCCGAACCAGAAGCATAATTGATCCCGCTGTGAATTGTGTTAACCTCAGTGTTTGGTTCAAGATAAGGAGTTGGTGCTGATTTTGCTCCCAAGGCTTCACCTAATTTCAGTGATTTTATATTATCTTATGTACGTAAGAGTTGAGACAATTAATTACAGATTAGCATCATCTGAACTTTCAAAAGCCAACGTTAGCTGATTCAAGGGACGACCAATTCAAAAGCATATACAGTAGTAATAAATTAATACCCCTTGCCAAACTCCACGAATGAATGTTGGTTGCATTTATATAATTAGCCTTTTAAATTCTCAAAAGTTACACACTTTTACAATACTACTATTTTCAACTTGTCGGTCTAACTCAATGCTGACTTTTACATGCTATAAAACGAGTCAACTTATCTATCAATCTGACTTTCAAGTATGTTTGTAAACTATGAGGGTCCTGTTATATTAAATTGTTGTAACTAACCTTTACATCACATTTATATCTGATCAATTTACTAACCACTTTTTAATATATATTTTCTCCGGTTTCACAATAAATGTTTATTTAAATTAATAAATGTGGTTTTACTATAAAATAGTATTTTGTTGAAAGCTTATCTTGTCGTCTAAAAAGAAAAGATTGTTGCTTTATGATTGTAAATATTAGTATAATTTATTTTTCTACTTTAAACTAACATAAAATCGCAACATAAAACACAAGTTCTATTAGGCTGGGCAAAAAAAACCGAACCCGAAAATCCGAACCGAATCCGACCCGATAAAAAGGAACCCGAACCGATCCGAACCCGACATAAGTACCGAACGGATTTTGTTTTACGGTATTTCGGGTTATGGGTATTACCCGAACCGAACCCGAACTTAAATGGATATCCGAAAGAACCCGAAACTTTAAAATTCCAAAAAAACTTGTATCATATCCAATCTAAATTTCTAATATGTTTCCAAAACAGATTAATATATTATTGAGTACCTACAATAATTAGTTATGATATAAATAATTAACTCAANCGAAAGAACCCGAAACTTTAAAATTCCAAAAAAACTTGTATCATATCCAATCTAAATTTCTAATATGTTTCCAAAACAGATTAATATATTATTGAGTACCTACAATAATTAGTTATGATATAAATAATTAACTCAAATATTTAGTCTAATATATAGTGTTATTTGGTTAATATTAATGTTTATGATTGACATTACATTTTAAGTTAAGTTACGAATAAATTTGTTTTGAAGTTCATATAATGTTGTTTTTAAAAGTTTAAATAGCACTTCTTATGTTTATAGAATTGTTAGTTGTTAACTTTAATTTTTTATGTTTCATTATGTATTATATTTCGTTCATACAAGGCTTTGGTTTGTCATTAATCATGATATGTTTAGTGTTGTCACATATAGTTCATTAAAAAATCTTATATGGTTGATAGATGAGTTTCACAATATTATTTTGAAGGAGAACAATATGGTTTGTAGAAGCTAAATACACAAATTTAATAAAATGATTGAACATATAGTGAGTTTAGTTGAGTATAAATTAGTATTTTTAGAACCGATAACTCGATTAGTATCCGAAACTGAAACTATTTCGGGTTCAACCGGATCTTGGACATGTTACTAAACCCGAACCGAACCCGACTAAACCCGAACCGAATCCGACCCGATTTTTTATAATATCCGAATGGGGCTGAAATTCATGAACCCGAAAACCCGAAACCCGAATGAACCCGAACCGAAACCCGATTGGGACCCCGATTGCCCAGCCCTAAGTTCTATAATCAAGTCAACATTAAAAAATTTAATATAAAATAGTTTTTTGTTAATTCATTTAAAACATATAAAATACTACTGAGTGAATAAAGAGACATACCAACGATATCAGAAATTGTCCGACCATTAGTGAATCTTCCGGTGGGTTGGCCATTAGAAGGTCTGAAGTCGATGCCGTAGGGAGAAGAATCAGCTTTTGACAATGTGAAGAGATAATTGTTATTTCCAGCATCTACCAGTGAGTCTCCAAATATGAAATTTGTGAAAGATTGAGCAGTAGCCTGAAGATGTGACACCCAAATGAGAAGAGTGAAGTTGAAAAGCTTTTGAGGAAAACTATATGTGATCTCCATTTTTTTTTACTTTGGTCGAATCTTTGCCAATAGACATATATACTGTTTTGGATTAGTGAAGTTAAGACTCTTGAACCATTCTTCTTGCTTACATATGTAACATTGGGACTTGTTCAAAACTTTGCACATGGTTCCTACCTCCACGTACACTATTACTTAATTTGTTGGTCAAGTACTACAAATATTGATTTCTCTTGAGTTTTGAGTGCATATGCATAATTGATTCTAGGAATTTCAGAAAGTTACTGAAAATTTAAAGAATAATATGAGGTAAAAATACATTAACATAATAAATCTATAATAGGACAGCAAGCTATAGGCTGAGCTGCCTTTTAGATGGACTGGTTAATATTCAAAAACAACGATGTTGCAGTTTTATTAATTGTACAGCACATGTGACGTATCGACCACACACATGATACTTCATATTTCGCAGACAGTACTGGTCCTGACATGAGAAAGACCAGAAGCAATTTTCTAAAATTTGGCCATTTTTATAAGAACGTTTATATACCATAATAATAATTTTCGTCTAAAAAAGGCTGATTTTTTCAAATATTTTTTGAGGGCCGGAAGCTGTTGCTTGTAATGCTTCCCCTCAGGGCCGGTACTGTTCGCAGATGCGCAGCTCATAACTCTATATTATCATTTTATCTTTTTTCTAAGAAACTATTATTATAGCTATTGAAAAAAAGAAACTATTATTATTATAATGTTCAAAAAAATATTATAGCTATTCTAAATTAAATCCTGCGCATATTTTTATTTTTATTTAATTTTATAAGCCATAAAAATATTTAAAATAATAAAAATAAAGATACTATTCGATAAAAAGTAAAGTCGTTTTTTGCTAAATACACTTACAACTTGATTAAATACAATAATATTCTATCAAATTAATCTTATATGTTTATTATATATATTTTTCATTTTAAATAATAATTATTATCTTAACTATTTATAAAAATATCACTTGAAAATATTTCTATTAAAAGTCACTAAAAATACTAATAGACAATTAAGGTAGAAGATTACTTCATTTGCAAAATTTTCTTAATGTTATCGGAGAATGGAACTTTTATATTTTTATATTATTTTAAAATCAGTATTTTTTGTGATATTTAGTTAATTCAATTAGAGTTAAATCAAATACTTATTTTTTAAAGTATTGCTTTAGTTCTGAGTAGATATCTTTTTGTAGATTTTTTATTTTGTATATTTATTCAAATAATATGTCAAAATTTAATCAGAAAAGTTTTAATATATGTTAAACTCTGATTGATGGATTTAATATACACAATACATATATATATATATATATATAATATCAATACTAAGTTTATAACTTCAACCTTTGTATAGTAAAATGTGGATTGTATAATTAATACTTAAGTTTGTAGAGATTATTTTAAAATAAAAATGTAGTTTGGTAAGTATCTTTATGTATTTTCACAAAATAGTAGATGTGTAGATAATATGTAAATAAAATAAAATTCTAAAACAGAACCACCCTGAACAAATTTCAATTTGATTATGTAGATAATTTTAATGATATTTGGTTATTAAATTAAATTATTAGGTTATTTTTTAAAACTACTAATTTTGCCTATAATTTCTCCATTTTTTCTAAAAAAAATTAAGAAACATTTTTAATATCATAAATATTCTGGTAATTTTCTTTTTATATTTATTTAGTTTAAGACTTTAGTATAAGATAAAGTAAAATATACTAGCTAGTCACAGTTTCTTCAGTACTTTCAGACCCTTAAAAGTCTCTCAAACCATAAATTAATATGTTACCTTCCAAATAATAAAATACTATGAACAATTATAATGAACATTAAATTAGTTAATTAAGATTTTGCCCACCCAAAAAGGATGCAACCTCCACCAAATTTCATTATTTTGGACAGCAAATTATGTTAAATGAACAATAAATTCATATATCCGTCTCTGCTATAAATTGTCCTCTCTCACACACACATATCATAATTTATCTAACACTCTCATATACAAATCCGAAAAATTCAAATCAAAACCATATTTCCATCACCACCACACATCATGGCCATTGGACGGTGGCTCAACCAAACCATAGGCTTCTTCGTCTTCTTTTTCCTTGACATTTTTGATTACTTGCTTTGTTTCACTTACAAGACGTTAGATTTCTTCTTCGAGTGCGAATGGAAACCTTGTTATTGCTCTTCTCCACTCGAGGCACAAGCCAAGACCAGGAAGATCATAGTGTCCGAACGGGGAGATTACTCAAAGGTTGTTTCTGTGACAAGAACTAAGATCCATTTTGATGAGATCTCAGACACACTTTACTCACGTGGTCCTTCGCTTCTAACGAGGCTCTCTAAGCTCGTGACTTCCGTGAAATGCTTCAGTTATAAAGGCTTGATCATGAAACGCAATGCGGTCGAAACTTGTGATCATAATGATGAGCCTAAGAAGAAGATTAGTAGTGGTAGCAAAAAGAGATTAATGACTTTTAATTCTACGGTCGTTGAGAAATCTACGAAAACACCAAGATGGTCTGATTGTCATTGTCACTTTTGCACTTCATGGCTTTCTCCTTCCAACAAAGATTCACTTTTTGTCAAAGTTCAACAACCTAGAGGTAAAACATTAAATCCATTTTTTTTCCCAAAATCATACATTGAATATTGGGTTACCTTAAATTCTGGTGAGATGAATGTTGGTTCATTGTTACAAAAGTAGTAACATGATCTTAAGAAAATAAAAATCACCATTTACGTAAAAGTAAAACATAATTCCTTTATTTCATGTTAAGTGATGCTTTTACTTAATGCACATTAGTTATTTGTCAAGATATCAGTAAGTAACTAAAATATTTATTATAAAGATTATGGCAACAAGAAAAAATTTGTAATTCAAAAAGCAAATGATTTAAATAAAGACACATTTTTTTGCTTATGAGAACAAAGTAATTACAGGAATAATAACATTGATCGTTGTTATTCATATGAATGATAGGTTCTGCATTGTTTTGTGCCTGATAGATACACATTCTTGTCGATGTTTTTTTGGTAAAAATTATTGCCAATGTTGTCATCCTCATCCTATACACTAGAAGCTTTCTTAATTATTTCGGGGGAATATATATATGTGCAGATAATAAGAAGGCACGAGACAACGTTTTGTTCATACATGGCTTCTTATCTTCATCCTCCTTTTGGACAGAGACTCTCTTCCCAAACTTTTCTTCTTCAGCCAAATCGAATTATAGACTTTTTGCAGTCGATCTTTTGGGTTATGGAAGAAGTCCAAAGCCAAACGACTCGTTGTATACATTAAGAGAACATCTAGAGATGATTGAGAAATCTGTGATCTCTCAGTATAAACTCAAAAAGTTTCACATAGTGGCTCACTCTTTAGGCTGTGTTTTGGCTCTTGCCCTTGCCGTTAAACACCCTGAAGCTATCAAGTCCCTCACTCTCTTGGCTCCTGTAAGTCGGTTATACTTAGTTCTAAAATTTCTCTATTGTTTTTAAATCAGTAGATCATGACTAGAAAATGTTTTATAGCATTAATATATACGGTTCCTTCTCACTTGCAAAATACTTTTAACATGTATTTCATGTTTGTTGTTGCCTATAGTAAATATGGGAGGGAGAATTTAAACTAAAGTTTTCATTAAATTGGAAAAGGAAACATTAGTACTATACTAGTAGAACCAAAATCACAATACGGGTGATTTAACTTCGATGTTTAGATTTCTGTTTTTCATTTTTCGAAATGTAATAAGCAAATTGGAAATGAATCTACTTCTAATTTGTGTTGTAAGTGTTCTTATACGAAAATGGTAAGAAGAGTGTATATGATACACGCGTTTTTGTTCGTGGTTGGGGTTTCCTATTTTAGAAACTATATCAACCAAACCAAAATTTAGTTTTTTTTCTTTTAAGATTTCGTTTTCAGTACAAGCTATGTTTGCTTAACTTTGTTACGGCACTAACTATATATGAATATTTTAGCTTAACTAAATGAATTCATATATAATTGGCAGCCATATTACAAGGTGCCAAAGGGAGTACATGCAGCGCAATACGTGATGAGGAAAGTGGCTCCTAAGAACGTCTGGCCACCGATGCAGTTTGGTGCATCGCTGATTAGCTGGTACGAGCACCTTGGCCGCACCGTTTGCCTTGTACTCTGCAAAAGCCATCGCTTCGTCAATTCTCTCATTCGCCTCTTCACCTTAAACAGGTACCTATTTAAGATGAGTTCTTTGTTTATCTTTACGTTTGCATTTTCATTTTTAACACAACTTCCATTAAACCTTTAAACATTGGGACTGCAAAATAATTTCATCATAATGCTACAAATGAACATAAGAACAAATAACATAAATGATAGTAGCTAGTTGAGAAACCTCTAATATAGGAATTAGGAAGACAAGCATATTCTGAGCAAAGTTGAACAATAGTAACACTAAACGTGACGTTAAATCCCAATCCACATCTCAAAAGTTCACCTAACGAACTCTGTTGCATCTTCTATCCCTACGGACCTCTACACAAAATAGTAAAATGGTTATAGATGTAGACATACTCCTTCGCTTTTGGGCTGAGCGGGAAACTTTTCTCATACCGAAGACAGATGGTGACGGTCATATTGGCAGTAACAATGATGTACCCGGTGAACCAACCGGTAAAAAGAAGACTAGATTACTCTTCACGTTTGCGTGTTCATATAGTATAATAAGTATAAGTAAAAGAACAAAATACACGCAAACGTGTAAGAAGAAAGAATCGTGGCCTTAGAAATGAGACGATCGATCATAGGTTTACGTTTACAAACTATTTGTTTACAGTTACTAAGTTTTGACCCGAAGTTGACAATGCATAAGATTAGGGGAACACCGAGTTGTCTAAAAGTTTATAGGTTTTAATGAGCCAACCACTCGTCCCCTACTCGTATACAATATCTTAAAATTGACGTTGCGACAGTGTTATACAAGTTTTCTAATACTA